TGAGGTCTTCTTATGAAACATTTCTTGGGAAATAAAAGGGAAGCTGGTGTGCAGAACGAGGGGTATATTGATGTTGCCATCGCTAGGCCTGGAGAGGATTTGTTCATAACTCGAAAAGGTCAATAGGGACAATTAATTGACAGACAGGGACACTTAAATTAGGGTTTTCTTTTGAGTTGTTTAAAATGCAGATTTGCTGCCTAACCTCAAAACGTTTTTGGTAAGGGGTGGACACAGAAACTTCACTGGGGGGTTCATATGATTCAGAAAATTAGATTCTCTTCAATACATTGGTTTGAAGCAACGTTCAGACCTCTGCTACTTCTTTGAGAGTCCTTATTCAAGGTTTTTAGTATCTACCTTTCAACATAAATTCTACTTTTATTGCTTTTAGCTCTTGTTGTTGTTAATTTATGTTAATTATGATAATTGAAAGAATTTTTGGATTGCAAATGGTCGAGTTTGATTCATAAACCTACAAGAGTCAAAAGTCTATTTTCCTTCGCATTCTATCGTCTCCTCCGGATATGCTCTCGCGAAGTACGAATGCCTTATGGAGTTTAAATAGACTTTGGGAAAGTCTACTTTAAGTGCAGAATTCTGAACTAGGTAACTTCGGTTGCCATACTTATTTGCTTCTGCCTGAATACGAACTGTCAAAAGCCACAAACGAATATATCTTGGCAAAGTGCAAGGCAAAGTCTGCACATGATTGACCAGACCCTTTGCTATCAAATAAAACCCTGAACATGCCAGCCTTAAGAGAGATCATATTAAGTTAAAACTTCGTTTCCATGGTGCTTTAAAAGTATTTTGATCACATGAAATATTCAAGGTTTTTTAGACTATTGACTCTAATGGGCAGTATATAAGTGTTGAAAGTACACTCCTATCGACACAATATTTCAAGTTTGTGCAAAATTTTGTTACTCTAGAGGTGGAAAAAATTTGTCTTCTTGTGCTCATAATTGTTTGAAGCTCTTAAAAACATGCTTCAATCTAGGGATAACAACATTTTTTCAAGCTTTTTTAAAACTACTGTTTAATTATAAATAACATCGAGCTTTAATTTGCTAGTGCTTTTTTAAAAAAATGCAAAGATTTTCCAACCCTCACTGTTGAGCGTCTCGCCTAATTTAAAAGGACAGAAATAGCTCGATACTTCAATTCCTGTTATAAAGCGACATTTCGTTATATTTTTGCTTAGTTTTACAGGGACTCCGACACAAATTGGAAAGTGGAGGGGGGAGGGACCAAGGGCAAATGAAAGACCAATAAAAAGATCTTGCAAAAAAGCTCTATTGTTTAGTTAAAAAAGTAGGGAGGCTATGGTTCTCCGGCCCTCTTCGTCGGAGGCCCTGCTTTAGGCCTAAATCTATAGAAGACTAAGTAGTTGTTAAGCCAAAATCACAGATCTTGCTTTTGGCATAAAACCTACAAGTAAAAATGTTACATTTGAACCAACATTCATTAATGCTGTTGCATTCTGTTGCCCCCTTCCATGACGATGCAATCAAATTGCAGCATCCTGTGATCCCACTGAAAATTAATCTTGATCATATGGTTTCGATTTATTTTTTTTTCTGAAAAACGTTGTTGTTACTTCTTTTCCAAAAAAACATTTTCTCATGTTCCAAGTGGGTCAATCACACTAACTGCGTAACTGGTTCTCGGAAAGATCAATTTTGTATTTCGTTTAAATTTGATGGGAAAACGTTAGGGAAGGGGTAATATTGTGACAGCTTACTTTTTGTGATGTAATCCTATGATTTTCAAACTGCTTTTACGTTACCAAAAGTTAGTCATGGACTTTTTTTGGATAAATTGGCGCTCCCTGTTGTTAAAATGGCGTTTTCTGGTAGTAAAAGGGCGTGGCCTAAAATTTTTTATTTTATCCCCTCCAGAGCTCAGTGGCTGGCGCCGCCATAGCTTGGAAGTGTTAAAATATCTATGCTTACTCACACTGGCAACAACGACCAGTGTAAGGAAAAAGAGAAAATCAATATTTCCTCAACAGTTGTAATTTTCAGTTGCCACCTTCGCCTAAATATGCTTCAGGCCTTATCATATTTTCCTGCTGGCCACATTTCAAGTTGGTAATTCGAATCATTATCGCTAAATGGAATATCACCAAATACAACCAAGGCGCATTTTCTACAATCCATATTTAAGAGACTTTACACCTAGTCCCCTTTACCCAATTGAATTTATGTTTATTATCAATTACGCACGATTTTTCTTTGAATGGGGCAGAGTAAGTGTCAAATTATGCAATTGTGGTACCAAGCAGGTGTTATTGTTAGAGGCTATTTCATCAACAGCTGTTCCCAGGACTGTGGATCGTTTAATTGCAATACTTTTTCTCTTTCTACCAATAGATTTACCCAGAGGAGCGAATTTCTGTTATGCTTGTTACTAAAGTAAAAAAAAACTTTCTACAACTCAAAATGATTATTTCTATTTACATTATTTTCGTGACTTTTCTTTAAAAATACTAATATTGCACTGAAACCAGTAGGCATTGTCCAGAGATTCTTGCTCCTTGATTTCTTTCGAGTTGTCGACTTTCCCTCCGAAATGGCTAGCCAATAACGAACCTTACTGCGCATGTTCCTTCAACACACATTTCGAGTGTCTCGTTTTAATTTTAAATTTTGGCTGTCTTTTTCCAAACAAGCTTTATATCAGGATAAGCACCTCTTAACGAGTTTCAGTGTAATAAAAATTGCTTAACAAGCCTCGGGTCCACTAAATAAGCTTCTACCGAACAGAAAAAACATGTCAGACCGGGGTTGAAGGAAAAAAGGAGCTTTGTCAACCCAGAATAAGAAAAGTTCTGTGAAGGTTTTCCTTCTATCCTAGAGTGTGAGTGGCAAAGAGAGAATTGCTTAAACCGACTATTAAGTTTACTTACAACCGTTGGCCCCTTTCAAGACATTTACATATAGCAGACAGTGACACCCATCTACTTGATGTTAGAATTGAAACCTTTTAGAGAAGCTGTTCCCCGTTTGCGAGCATTAGAAATGTGGGAAAATTACGTGACTGTTTGCGTTAAGATGAGTATATCTGGGAACTTGGTTCGTTAAATTTTCATAAAAAGAATTAATGGTTTGTGACGTTGTGGATACTGTTCTGACCACACGAAGGCGCGGAAGCTTTATGATCCAATAAGCTTGATTAACTTGTTTACCATGAAATTTAATAACTAAAAGGGATTTCTGTGGCACTGCAATGCCTTGCTCCCACAAATAATCTGGTAAATTCTGTCGATTCTTTTCAACTTGATTTATTGAAATTTCGTTTCGTTTCAAAAACCGCCAATATACGGCAAATAATCGAGATCTAGAAAATGTTTGCAAAAAACTTTTCAACAATTTATACTGGCTTATCTAATCTTATATACCAATTTGACTATCACCGAAATTAAGGTGTGTTCTACTATGGGGGCAAATGGGGTTGAGCCCCATTGTTAATTTCGCGAAGCAGCCAATTTATACTTTTGCTATTGCTTTTTCAACATTTGCACAAGAAACCCCTTGTTATCTTGACAGCACTATGGACCTGTCTATCTTGTCTTATTCTAAAGATAGTGGACAAAATTGGTGCTGCTAAAGTGATAGATACAATCTCTGCCAAAACTCCTTGGAACACCTACACATTTTGCTAATTGTTTGCTTTTTTCGTAAATTTCCCGTGTTTCTTATAGACAAACCCCCCTCCCCCCTAAAACAATGTTGCATACAATGCATTTTATCACAGCGATCGGTAGAAAAAGGTTTGCCACAAAAGTATGTCTTGACTTTGCTGTGAGACAACATTGTTTGAAGGGGGGGAGGGGAATGGATGCATGAAAACGTTGAAAATATCAAAAATGTTCCGAGAGTTTTGGCAGTGATTGTAGCTACGTGCAAAAAATTATTAGTAAGACGGGTGAAGGAAAGGATTTTGGATGAAGAACAGAAATAAATGTATCACGCAAATTTCTTCATCCTAACACATTAAAACGCGTCCAATTTGCCGAAAAAGTGGGTGAGCCATCCTTTATTTGCAGACAATTCGAATATTTTTTCAAAGCGGGTGCCACACTCCCAACGCCTCACCGTAACCATGACCCTGGATACCGAAAACATAACCCTTGGCTTTTGTATAATTGTTAAAAACAAGTTGAATGACGGTCAAATGACACGGTTCTGGTGTAGCTGAATGGTTTATTCTCGTTAAAATATAGAGCAAGGTTTCTTCGCCAAAACATAACTTGGCAGCAAGCATTTCATTTCTCTATCATTGGATAACCAACGTTCGATTCGAAGGCCTTGCATAAAGTCGAATGAAAGACAAATTTTGGCGGGAAATAGCATGCGAGGGCGCGCGGTAAACGGGCGACGGCCTCGGGGCCGCCACAAAGCTCGTAATCTCATTTTGCGCTATCTTTGCAATTATTGTTTAATATTTCATTGCTTTTGGAATATGTTCATTATAGCCTTAGTACATTCAGCCCTGAAACCCAATTAGATATTTCGGCGATATCTCATGTAATTCCCTAAATAACACCACATCCTTTATCTATGGAATTGAGTTAAGCAGGCTTCCTGTTCCTCTTTGCATTATTCAGATCAGACAAAGATGTTTTACTGCCCACTACACAATGCAAACCTGTTTGAAAACTGCTTCGCTTTTTACTCCACCATCAGCAATACTCGACTTATTCAATTTGGGAGGGCGTCAGAACTTCGCAAGACAATATGCACAGTTTGCATTCATAGAGATTCACGGTTTGTAATACCACAGGATGTAAATTTAAAAATATATCACAAGATATTGATAACCTGGCAACCCATTTTGTATAAATCCACCCTTGGTTACAAAATAACTTTCAGGACAATATAAGATTCAGAAATGGAATATTCCTAACCGCCGATAAAATTGGGTTGCGAAATACAAATTGTATACACAATTTAGGCCCGAAATAGTCCATTCACAAAGAGACAGACATACAAGCCGATCATAGGATAAAACATAATGACAAATGAAAATAACAAAAATTATAGGGGGTGAGAAGCGAGACGTATTAATTTAATGACAACGTGTAGGCTGGATTGTCCTTTCAATGATTTCCCATTCAATACATTTTAATGTTAAATAACTGCGACTTTTAAAATCGTGTATCATGGAGCAAGACCTTGAGCGTAAAACTCTAAAGTTACATGATTATTTAGTTTATATAAACCGCCTACAGAATCGGATTCGCGGAAGATCTATATTACCAATTACTTTTAAAAAAAATATTCCAAAACTAACGAGAAAGTCCAAAACAAAATTATACTTGTCACGTCAAAACACAACACTGTTTATATGCAAGCAACAAGAACGCAAGAAATAATTTATATTCAATTATTCTGCAGGTAAAATGGTTCTTTATTCCACGCGAACCCTTGAACAAAATTTTAGCTTCACCATAAAAAAACAAATCATTGAAAGCAAGTGGATAATGGCAGGACATGTAATTCGATCGACAGAAAATGAGGATTCGCGAGAAGCGAAGTGTGTCTCTAGTGTGTTCGGAAAAAATCTAATAGGAACGTCGAAATACGAAAAACATATGAAACTTGCCATACACTTGGTTAATTTGTGTCCCAAATTAAAAGTGAATGATTCCAACTCCAACAAAATCATGGTCTTTCTTTTAATGACGATCTACTAACATTATGAAAACACCAGAACTAAAGAATCAAATATAATGTGCTAATTGTTATCAATTTGCTATATACAGGTTTTAGTAAACAGCATCAAATATGTACACACAGGGTCATAGCTTAATCCTAAATATGTTAGTCTGCTGAAAATACATAAAATGGAAGAAAAGATCCCTATTAGAGTGTTCACTCTCGAAATGGACAGCAAATTGTTTAAGGCTAAAATGGTTCAGTAGAAACCAAATACTACAGATGTACAATGAACACAACTATAGCAGCATATTTCAGTAGACTGAACTAACTAATATTCTACACTCTATCATATCAGCAAGTGTACAGTTTGATCATCCATGAGAGCATTTCCATAATTAAAAAGAACATTTAGTCTGTGGTTCAAATATTGCAAAGGAACTTAACAAAAACCGCCTAATTTACATTCTAAAATCAAAACCATTTGCCTGTACCCAGAGGGGAGGCACAGTATTTTGACTTAATTAATCATAAACTAGTATTAAATGTTGATGCTTGATGTGTGGGCTGTATTCAAACAGACCAGCTGTAGAATTATTGTTGAACCCTGACAAAATTCTTCTTTGTGGCTGTTATACACTATGGCTTCATACGACACAACTAGTATCATTTATACTGAAAATGGCTTATAAATCCCCCATTTTAGATGAATACAAAAGTATAAAGAATGATGAAATTTCTCACCAATCTAGATGAGCTTGTAAAGTCTCAAAGTCAAGAGATTTGGTGACAGTCTATTAGAAGAGCCAATATTTCCACCTTGAATTAGCGTCAGTACCAACACCATATCCCATCTGAATGGATGCAAGGGGACAAATGCTTTGCCAGTGAGAAACACAGTGTCCAAAGCCATTTGTATTCTAGCCCTCAAAAGATTAGTGGACCCAGTTTTGGCCAGCTATCGCCATCGTATTCACTGAGGTTGCATTAACATACGTTGGTTCAAAGTCCAAACTTCCATCCCCCATTTCATTACGAATTATACTTTCAAGATCTCTTTGCAACTGAAATCGATCACTGAAATCATGAAGTTCAAGTTGTGATAAATCACTTGGAAATGGATCACTATCTTGTTCCATTGGCATAGAAAAGCACTGGCACTGTGACAAATCACTGCTCTTAGTAATTGTCACATTCCTCTCCTCTTTCAGTCCAGCCAGTGTGGTTGGTAGATAAGGATCTGACAGAGATGTGAGGCTTGTAGTCTGAGAGCTTCCAGAGAAAGGTATACTGGCCTTAAGAGGCATATGTTGAAGCCTTCTCATTGTTGGCTGCTGAGAAGAGACATATCCTCGCTGGTTGATTTGTAGCTGAGGTTGGCTGGCTTGGTTGAAAAAACCTTGATTTCTTCTGTCTGCACTAAGAACAGCAGGCCCACAAGAGGCTAATTGACTCCTACCAAATATATTTGTTGGTTTCTGTTGTCTTACAGGTGTGAATTGAGTCTGGTTTGTCTGTGGTGTCTGATATGGTGGAGGGGCTTTCTGCATTGGCATCATGGTATGAAGCTGAGGCATGGATGCCTTGGTCTGGACTGCAGGTGTCACAAAATAAGATGCTGGGCTTTCGTAGCCAGAATCACCACTTTGAACAGAAGAAAAACTATCAGAATGCGTTCTAGCTGTATCATCTGCATATCCACAACCACCATTTATCAAACTTGAATCAAATTTGAGGCTTTCATCGAGATTTATTGTGTCAGTCTGACGACCTAAAGTCATCGACTCAACAAGGCTTGCAGTTGCTTCCGCATCTGATGCACCCCTCGGTCTACTTCCCACAATAAGATCTGCATCTGAAAGCGAAACAAAATCATCCTCTAGCTCTTCTCCTGGAATCGGTGTTAGCCGGCCGACACTACTGTGAGTAGAAACATTAGACGTAGACCGAGGGCGCGTAAAGCTATCTGCTGTCAAAATGAAGTTTCCCCCGTTCTCGTCGAGGTCTGGTAAGTTGGACAATGAGTCGGTGCTGGAACAAGGGGACGTAGCTGCGGCTGAATCGCTCGACTGACTTTTCTTTTTACTGTTACGTGATGAGCTCGATGATGCGGAACCCAGAGGAGAGAGGTTGCTACCGAATTCCTCAGGCGATCCAGCGGTGTTTTTCTTCCTCCCACCACCTCTTTTCCTTTCCGCCTTACCTGCTCCATCAACTGATCCCGACCGTCTTCTCGGTGACTTTCCAGGTTTTGCATCAGGATTAAGAACCCAGAAAGAACTTTTCCCGCTCTGATCATTCTGAACTCTCATAAAACGGCTATGTAGTGACAAGTTATGGCGGATAGAATTCTGTAGAGGAAAGATAAAAACATTTATAAACCGCGGTGATTTTGGATTATTTATCTTTACGTGAGCAATCATTTGTAGGTTAATACGTCATTTTGCAAATACGGAAACGAACAGATATATACACAAGTATAAATACTCGATGACACAGTGGGGTGGAGATCTTGTCAAAGACAATAAATCACCATTTACTATTTAAAACTGAAAATTCCATGGACTGCGACTGCATTTTCACACTCGCAATACAATTTTGAAATCGTACACTCTTTCCTAAACTTTGCAGGTAGCAAGTACAGTTCACATGGCTGTCTTCTACCGAACAATTTCAAGCAATTCGACACCCTGAAATACATAGTAACTATACAAACTAACATGATATTTAAATAAAAACTAGAACCATGCTACCGTAATTTTATCTTGGCACTGAAGTGTTGAGATTTCTATAACAAGAACAGCGAAGCAATATTTGCCTAGGCCGATTTCAACTATGTTCTAGCAACACGACTGGTGCGTCGATTGTCGTGTTCTAACGTGCCTAGGCAAAGTTAAATCGCTTTGAAAGACGATCGAATTTCAAAACCAAGATCACCTACGCACCTTCCAGCCAGCAGAGGATGTAGAATCTCCCTTGTCTTTGAAATATGGAACATTTTTAACCATCCAATTATAAATATCGGACAAAGTCAGTCGTTTCTCCGGTGAACTGTCAATTGCTTGTGTTATCAAATCTGCGTATGACAAATTTCCCCATGCATTCTTGCGATTATTTTTCCTTGGGCTCGCTCCCTCGCCATATTTCTTGATACTTTCCTGAGTTTCATTCTGAACTGAGATATGAGACTGACATGGTTCTGGGCTCTGCTCAGCCTCAGTCTTAGTGTCCACTGCAAGCAATCCTGGATCTGGAAGTGGCCAAGTATGCGATCGTGGACGATCTGGACGGTCCATCATATCTTCGAGAAAAGGCCCGTCATCGATAATAACGTCCATGACGAACTTTATTATGTGGTGTTCAGTTGCAGCTCAGTATATATCGGTGTGTATAAAACTTTGATCTAAAAACTAAAGCTTGAAACTCCCACCCAGGTGACTCTCGTCTAACAGGCTCTTCGAACACCCTTAAATCATGCCGCTTCACATTTGATTGAAACTAAAACTGCAATTCAGAATTATCTCTATAAAGTCACAGGTTGCTCGTAAGAACAATCCAGGACTTCCTATTGGTATATACCCTTTTGTCTGTTTCGAAGCAATTGTTCTGAAATGAATGCGTCTGTCAATCAACGCCATTCAGCCATACAGGACGCTTATTAGACAATTAACAATAGTCTTTAAAAATTCCTATACGTCACATTCCGGAGACCACAGGCAGCCCACAAACAGAAAGTTCGCGTTTTAAAAGATAAAATTTTGAAGCTAATAAATAAGAGCAATATTTTTCTGCAGCGGCAATAGAAAAGGCAGCAAATTTCAGCAAAATACGCGAACAGTTTAAAGCAATCAAATTTATTAAATAAGGTAAATTTTGCAGCTCTAACGGCCTTGATTTTTTTTCAGTAAAAACACTGGTTGAAATATTAATGGGCTGCATTTTTATTACTTGAACCAGATGATTGAAAAATTTAGCAGCCTGGTGCCTATTTCTATATACAGCTTGAGATTTGTGCATCACCTGAGAATCGATTTCAGTTTGAATCTGAGACTTAAAAAGCCTTCAAAATTTCACCCAAGAAGGTCAAATTTTTCTTCGACAAAAAAATTACAGTGTTCAAGAGCCCAAAACTTGAAAAAGCTCATAAAACCAACTTGGGCATCAGAATGGTTTCAAGTATGAAGTATTCAAATCTTGTTGAATGGAAATAATTACTTGGATACAGATGACAAAACCCCACCAGAAGGAAAATGAATTAGGTATTGTTAAAAAATAAATAGTAAAGTTATATGGTGCAGACATTTAGTTCTATTGCATGCATAATGTCTAGTCTCAAATATCTATGTAAATGACAGTCTGTGGGATAGGTAGGAGCATATCTTTAAAAGGTTTCACCGTGCATCGTTCAATTATAAAGCTGGAATTGCAATTTAAGTAAACATATTTTAAAAATGGTCATGCAACCCAGGACACATATTGCTTGATGGATTGATTTTATGATAAATAACTGTGGATTTTTAGATAAAAAATTGATGCAGGAGAACAGCAGAGTGTTCTCAAAAGCAATATAAAATACAGCGTGTTTGATTGAGCGAATGGAAATGGCTGTGTATTGTCTTCTTTCATTATTTCGTAAATCGTTAAATATTTAAAGTTTTCTCAGTCACGTGGCAAACTAAAAAGAAATATGTGACACAATTTTATTCAAGTTTCATATGAACAAAATATAAGTAAATGTACCGTAGAACGGCTCTTTCTAGCTGCACTAAAGTTTGATGGTATTCCATAACTTAAATGTTGTCTAGATCGTGATCCAACGTGCTTGACATTTAGAGTTAGGTAATTATTGTGTTACCTTCTTTGCTCCTAAATTGTTACTATTCAGTGCCTTTTTAACATACTAACTAGGGGGCAACCGCCCCTACAGCCCCAGTAACTTTCCTTTGTTTTAAACAAAATGTTGTTGTACCCCTCTTTGTATAAACAAAGGCTAGCCCTCGCAGCTAATTTCCCAGGGAAGGCTAAAGACCTAAAAAAGACTTATAAGGCTTAGAGATCTGAATAAGGCTTAGAGGAAAGGATTTTTAAAAACGAAGTACAATCTAAATTTTTGACCTGTTAAAATCCTTCTTGAGCGGTCAAAATCAATTTTGGCATTATAAAGACACGTAAAACTCACAAGAAACTCCAATACCTTCTAAATATTTCTAGCTATGGTTTTAAATAGAGGTAGAAAGAGGTGGCTCAGTTTCTGTAAATTGAATTTCAGACTTTCATGATTTATCAGAGCATTTGACCGACGGTAATATTGAACAAACCGATTGACCATTGCGACATGCGTCTACTTGTTGCAAAATGAATCCAGAACCGTGCAGTTTAATTATTTAAATTGCTCATAATTCAGTCATTAACAATTGCATCATGAAGATCAATAGCAAAATGGCGAATGAGATAATACCGTCCAAGAAAGGACGCGACCGGGCCACAGGTCCAAAATAGGTTTTTGCATGACAAAGGTTTATTGAAAATCCCTCTCCAGAAGCAATTTTTAAAGAAATTCTAAATAAAGGCTATTCATTTCGATCGTCAAGGCTGCATAATGCGACTGAACATGCCCTGAGCTGCGATGAGTTTCAACATGAATCTTTGTGTGGTTGAATTTTGGCCAGTCGGTGACACTTTATTCAAAGCCGTTGAATAAAATTACTTTTACGATCATCATCATGGGATTTTTAAACTGCAATTATACGAGATTCTTACTCGTTTAATTGATGATGGACATTCAATTTTTTAGCAAAAGGCAATGCAGAGGTTATGGATTTGTAGCAGATGAAGTTGTAAAATCTACTGATAACAAAAAGACTTGAATTTCAAAGACAGCACTTGAAATTTAGTTCAGCCAATTTGAAAAAATTATCTTTGCATGTTTTGGAAAAAGTTCAATTTTCCATGAAAATTTTGCTCATAACATAGCTACACGGGAAGGAAAAGTTTGGCAACATAATACTGAAAATTGATTATTTCTAAGTGATTTTTCAGTAAGAAGCCCATTAAATGTTTACTACTTCGGCTAACGAAATTTAAAGTGACAACAGTTATAAAAGGAACAACTTGGGAAACTGAGAGAATTATATTTAGGCAGTCGATGGCAGTTATTTAGGCCTAGTTTGTAGAAAGAGATTGGATAAGCGCAGTAAATGTTCAAAGTTCATTTTCTCACATAAAGAAATTTCAAATTATTCTCTATTAAAAAGAGCTTGTTTACATAGCTATACAAAGATATTGCATCGTTAAAATTTTGCATTAAGAGCGATCGGCTATCAATTTGGTACCTATGCGGGAAAAGCTGTACATCAAACTACAAATATTTATTTTAAGACAGAAAATTCTTACCAAAAACTCTTGATTTCGGACAATTTCGGAAAAAAAATTCGGATAAAATGTAAACGGCGATAAAAACTGGGGAATTCTGAGATGTACCATTTCCAAACACAGAAGAAAGAGAATAAGAGAATTTTGAGGAGGCCGTGCCACTAATCGTACCTGATGATGGGCATACTGACGACAAGAATAAATCAAGCAAATCAAAGGAAGAGGACAATCCTGTTGTAGTTGATGACTGAACACTGCACCTTGCATGCATTTTTAAGTGATAGCTAACAAAATCAAATTATATTCACACTTCTTAGTTATTTCTATTTTATTATCTACCCATGTTGGAATTGCAGTCTCGCATCCCCTTTCTACATTATCAACATTGCCTGTTCTCAAAGATTCTACATAGATTAATACCAGTAACATCTTCGGACGTTAAAATTTTCGGACAGTAAAATTATCGGACCGTGCTTTTGTCCAAAATTTTATCGTCCAACATTTTGGGGGTTATATGCTGCCTACCAAGGATCGGCAAAACAGAATTGCTTCCGAAACACAGACCGTGACACAAGATAAGATGAATCATAACCTAAATTAAGAGATAATAGTTGACTGTTGAGATGACAAATGCAAACGTTTAACCATGCTAATACCATGTACATCAATCAAAAGTGTCACTAGTGGATAAAATAACAAATGTTTGCACAGTTTAAAAAAAAGATTTATAGTCAAACAAATAGAAACCTGAGCCGTGTCGTCAGGAGTTTCCAAAAAGGTGATTTATTTGAACTTGCAAATGAAAAAAGAGAAATTCTCGCACTGCCAGTTAAAAATAGCTCCGTAAATCAATATAGTTAGATTCTACAACTTTGTACTTGTTAATGTATATTTAGCTTCAGTCTCCAATTTACAATTCTGGAAATGTAAGAAAACCTCAATTCTTTCTGTGCCCCAATATTCTCACAAGTTTGTGATTTTGTGCCTAAAATTTTTCTTAAATCATTCACTAGTGACACAATGTGTACATTGGTAAGAATCAAGAAAAAGCACAAATCCACTGTCATCTTTCTTCGCCACGATAACATTTTCAGAACAATTATGAATGTACCTCAACATTTTTGCATGATAGTAGGGCTTGTCTTGATTGCTCAAAATACTTGAAAAAATATAAAGTCAAGCTGTCGATTAAATTTGAACCTGACAATAACACTTAATTAATTCTCAAACTTCACCAATTTGGAGCTTCGATTTTAAGACTTTCCGTAGAGAAACAAAATATAGTGAAACAATCTTACTGTTCGATACTCTTCAGCCCCAACCAGAAACTGCATGAAAGTTCAACTCTTAAAGATGGAACAGATATGATTCTTTTCACGATTAGGTACTTATTATCTCTTCGATTACTGTATATAAATTGAAAGAAGGGCACCTTGCGACTAATTTGGTGTTCTGTTTCTGTTCTATGTTATGTTGTAATATATTTTTGTTATAATTTTCTAGCTAAAAAGTAGCTCTTTAGGATTATATCACAGGGCCGTCGAAAGCAGGGGAGCTGGGGGAGCTGGGGGAGCTGGGGGAGCTGGGGGAGCTCGAGCCCCCCCAATAACTGTCAAACTGTACTATGGTTCCTTTAAAGCAGTCTATTGATTGAGAGGCAGTACAATGGGCAGTCCCCCCCTTCGTAATATGAATTTCGTTCCGATGGCACTGTATCAATTAAGAAATATTTAGTTCTATTAACGGTCAAAAATTCTTAGACATGTAATGTAATGTAATGTAATGTAATGCAGGTATTGTTTAATTGAATAAGCAAAAAGCACACCTTGTCAAATCTTTAAAAAAATGTTCTTACTGATCAATGTCCTCAACAATAATTTACATTGCAATGCTCTTAATAAGAATTTTTTGATGAAGCGTTGACCAGAATATTATTACAATATCTCAGCCTCAGCATATTATCAATTATAAGCTTCATATTCGTATAAAGAATACAATACATAAAAACATAAGGGTCATATTTATAAGTTGTTCTTGTATCACGTAGTTAGTGTATGACCAATTAGCTTAATGAGACACCTTTCAGTTTTTGCTCTTAATTCTTAATTCTTAATTGCTGGTGGCTAAAATATGCAAATC